TTTGACAGGGATGATAAGCCTGCTTTCAGAAGGGGCATTCCTGGGGTGCCTGGCTTGCTCAGTTGGAGGAGTATGTGACTCTTGATCTTGGGGTTGTGAGTTCGATCCCCACATGGGTGTAGAGATTACTTAAAAATAAAATCTTAAAAAAAAAGTGTTTCCCCAGCATTCCCCCCAACATTTCTGTGTGGTGATGTGGAGCTGGAAGGACTGTTTCTGTCAGAGATGATCTTTTGGTCTTTATTTCTGAAGGACAACTTTAGCCTTAGTTTTGGATTATATTCTCACAGCATTTATTCTGTTGACTAGACTTTTATGCCTTTAATTCTATGGAAACCTCGTTTGTCTTTTATATATTGAATTCATTAGATGGCTAAAACTCTTTCCTGCTTTTTTCTGTGTGCTGTGTCTTCCCTCTATGTAATAGTTGTTTGGCAGATTTGACTGTTTATGCCAGATGTTGTTCCTTGTTTGAAAGTGTGCAAGCGAACTGTCACAAATTTTGCATGTAAACATGCCCATTTGTATTCTGCCACTTACAGCCTTTTTCTTTTTATACTTATGTCCTGAAAATTCTGACTTTTTAAAAGGTGGACTTATTTGGAGAACAGAATCCTAGTATTTTAGAGACATTCCATTTGGGACATTTATTATACTACAGAGAATCTCTCATTTCAAAATGACCCGTATTTCACTTAATGTTTACAAAACTGTTCATTTATCTGACATAAGGGGCTAATCAAACTGCTTAAATACATTCCTGGCTGTTTGGAAGCTTTTTAAGCACCATAGAGAGAGTACTTAGCAAAGGAAATTGTGTTTATGTATGTGGAATATCGCCACTGAAATTCTGAACAGACCCAGAGGAAGAGGAAGATTGAATTTTAATATTCAAGCTAACATAACTTATTTCTACTTTATATTTAACTTAGTGGGATAAATTGGTCCTTAGTAAAACCGTATTATAGAATACAATCTAAGTTGTTGTTTTTTTGTTTTTGTTTTTGTTTTTTTTTGAGGAAGAAGTTGAGGTCGAAGGCCATGTTAATTATCGTAATAACCAGTACTTCTGAGTATGTGCTATGTGCCAAACACTATTTTACATTTATGAATTTACTTAATCCTCACAAAAACTCAGTGAAGTAGGTATTGTTATTACCTTTACTTTTTAGATGAAATCAAGGCCCAGGTCGTTTAAATAACTTTGCCCATGCTCATAATCCTTATGCTATTTTGCTTCTCACACTTAATGAGACTTCTTAATCATGAGAGTCTTAATCATGAATGTGAAACTTAAGACAAATACATTTTCTACACAAGGCAATTACCTTCTCACATAATAATGCAAAAGAACGATATACATTGACTGGTAAAATGTGGCAGTCAGTAGGTTCTAAAATGTACCATTTTCAGTTTATTTTTTTCTATTTGTTTTCGTAATCTGTAGTTATAGACAAGAACCAGTAAAATGTTAAGTTTTACATGCAAATCCTTTTCACACATGAAAATCTTATATTTTTATTCTGCCACAGTCAACTGGTTTGATATCTATTAATTTTGCATTCAGGGTTAAGCTGTGGCTTTGATATCTATGCATTATTGAGAAACTAAACCATTACAAGATTAGTGTACTTCAAAATCTGCTCCCCAAATAAAACTTGAAATGGGCTAAAAGGAGGAGGTAAATTGATAGTTGGTTAGTGTTCTTTCTTTTGTCTTTATTGTTTTTTATTTATTTTACTTATTTTTATTTACTTATTTATTTTTATTATTGATTATTTTTAATAAGGTTAAGAAATTTAACCTATACCTTCCTCAGTTTATTGTGACATATAAAGATAAAGTGACTTTTTCAGTTAGAGAAAGACGAATACCATATGATTCTACTCAGTGGAATTTAAGAAAGAAAACAGATGGAAAAAAAAAAAAAGAGAGAGAGAGGGAAGCAAACCAGAAACCAGATCTTACCTATAGAGAACAAACTGAGGGTTGCTGGAGGGGAGGTATGTAGAAGGGGGCATGGGTTAAAAGGATGATGGGTATTAAGGAGGGCACTTGTTGTGATGAGCACTGGGTGTTATATGTAAGTGATGAATCACTAAATTCTACTCCTGAAATTAATATTATGCTGTATGTTAACTAACTGGAATTTAAATAAAAACTTGAAAAAAAAAGATACAGTGACTTTGAGTAAAGAAACAATTCCTAATGTGACCCCTTAAAAGAACATGTCTGTCCAGGAGAGATCAATACGTGGGATCTTCTGACGTGCCATAGGTAATCTTTTAAAGCCTGGATCCTGACAAGGCAATCCACTAAGCAAATAGCTGGGAAGCAGTAAAGCTTGAGTTGGCTTACATTGTGAACACATCCTGCTTCCTTTTCTCTTGTATTGATGAGATTGTTCTTGTGATGTGTTCAGCTTTCTGTTAGGGTCCTTTACTTTGGTTCTACTTAATTTATACTTAAACTTGTTGTTTTATGTTGTCGAAGTCAACATGTAATTGTTCAACTTAAAAAATGGGAGTTGCTCACCTCTGGCTAATAAGTTTCAGTGATGTGAAAGTCCCAGTATTTCAGTGTGACCTTGCACTACCTGACATAGAAAATGTGTGAATCCCCCTGCTCGGAGGATGCACAGAAGCTTCACTTCTGAGGACTCACTTGGGGCCTCTTGAAGCTCAGGTGACCATGATCTCCTGAGGTCAGTATAATAGCCAGTGAGAAAACCAAACACAATTGATAGCATTGAGTGACATAAAGAGGGCAGTAGTCACAGTTTCCTTTGATGTGATAGTTTCAGAGATAACATGTGACCAGTGTATCATTGACTTTTTCACTGAAATTGCTATGTATATGTATAAAGTATATGAAATTGCTATGTATATGTATAAAGTATATGAAGAATCATGTCAATGTGGTAATGTTCCTCTGTTCCTGAAAGAACCAGAAGAAATGATGGGTAAATGGTTGCAGAAACATGTGGTGGAGAATTAGGTGTGCATCCACAAATTAGGACAATTGCCAGATACTTTCTATTTTCATATCTGAATATTTTAGGGTGGTAGGCTCAGGATCCCTGAGAATTCTTTTCTGCCTCAGGTTTCCTAAAAGTATGAAGGATGTACAGGTGTATTTTACCCAACTTCACAGTTATACTCCCTGGCACCTGAGAAGACAAATGACAATCAGCAGTCTGAACTTGTAAAGTTCAAGAAAGAAAGCCAGGATCTAATGGAGAAAATGTTTTATTTCTTTTGACTGCCCTATCACAGACTACCTGGTGATTTTTTTTTTATACCCTGAAGAGTAAGCCGACACTGAATTAAGAAAGATTGCTGCAAATTTATATGAAACAAAACCCAGAAATTGTCAAGTAAGGGATAATGGTTTATCTTTAATTGTCAAAAGCATCAAATTTATAGCTAATTTTAGTTCTCTAAATTGAACCATATTTAATAACCAAGAAGTTACCATATTTTCCATGCTAGAACTTTTTCTGGTTAATAACTTTTCCAAGCTGTTCTTCCATCATTGGTTTTCACACATTTCTCTCACCACTTTTAATATTCTACCTCTTTTATGGACCATAGGCATTCCAAAATATTTACATATTTTTCTTTGCAAAATGGGGTTTTCACTGATTTCTTTTCCATTTATAGATGTAAATGTCATTAACATAATCTAACCTTATATATCATAGGAGAAGGAATAAATTAGAATTATTTTATAATTTTTTTCTATAAATGGTTTACCGCATATATGTGTTCTTTTCATAGTTGTGTAAAAATCTGCTACCAACAGACTTTGGTGCTCACAATGTGATGCTTTAAAATTTAATTTATTATCACATATTACTCAACATCAGTTAGTGTGTGCTGAAAACCCATGGGCGGAATAGAACTGTGCTGTGTACCTAAAGAAATATAACAATCACAGAACAATTCCAGGCTCCGTCTTGTGGTAGCTTCTGCTCTTTAACAACATTAGTAAGAACTCACATAGGAAAGGATAAAAAGAAGGAAGATATTTTTGAATGGAAGCTGAGGGTTGAGGTTAAAAAAAAAACAAAAAACAGTTACTTCCTTTTTGCTTGTTTTCTTGTTTGGATTCTTTGAATTAGAACTGTTAATAGGCCAGATGAATCAGATGAATCTCTCTAAGAGGAATCCTTCAAAGCTGAGTGAAGGATATGTCCCTAGAGGAATTATCTTACTGGGACATGATCTGAGTTTATGCCAAAGGCCTGCTTAAAGGTTCAATATGACTAAGGACTTCTTCAGACTGGAATTTTAACAGTCTTTCCTTAAACATGTTTGCTTTTTTTCTTTATTGCAGCTGAAGAATGATGATGGAAATTCAGATTTTATAAAGTTAATAATATTTCTAGGTATAAAACAAGTTAATTGACCACCCTCAACAAATTACATTTATATTTAATATGACATCAAAGGCAAAATAAACAGCCTAAATTTGTGTAATTCAGCTTAAGCTTTTCTTACTTGAGACACTATTATTCTAAGAGGTAATACCCTTTTTGATACAGAATATTTGAGATTTCCTTTTAAAAGAGAAATTCTGACTATTGACATTATCATTATTGATTGAGATATGAATATTTAATGATGCAGCCTCAGAACTCAAGGTGAACATTTTCAATTTTAGATTTTTTAACCGGTTTGCTAATGCTTAATTAAGTCATTCTACTCGAGATACCCTTATATAATAAAGTTAACAGTGGAGACTTTCTTGTTGTGACTAGTTCAAAGAAGATGGGTATGAATAAACTTTTATTTGTACATCTGTCTTTTTTCTTTTTTCCAAAAAGTGAATACCTGAACCCATCCAATAATGTCTGTTCAGGCTCTGAATAATCTGGACAATAACTCCTGGAAACTACCCTATTTAACTAGACTGGAAATTGTGGCGCCAGTTGTAATAATCCCATACCCCTTCGTAGTCACAACTGTTACAAGACAGATACATAAGGAAATTAGATAGTGCTCACTTTGGCAGCACATATATTAAAACTGGAATGATACAGGGAAGATTCACATGGCCCCTGCCTAAGGATGATACACAAATTCGTGAAGCATTCCATATTTTACTTTTCTCTGATATCCATGGGTGGGGAGACAGACTCTCTAAGTGAAGTAACCCACCCAATTCAACACCCATCCCCAATTCCTCCTTCAAAAAAAAAAAAAAAAAAAAGAGAGCAAGATTAGATAAACAATATTATAGATCCAATTCTAAACTTTTAGATCACTTTGCCAAAAGAATGATCTGAATATATTCCCACTTGATGTTCTACAAATTAAGGTTTTCCCTTAGACAAATATTTAAAAGCATACTTTGGATATAGTCTAAATTTTACTTTAGTAATTAAACTTTGTATCTCAAGGGTTACACTGTAGAAAAATATTTTTTAAAAATCTGTCAGAAATTAAAGATATGGGAGGGAAAAGTAATCAGTCTGTATGTAGAAATATTGGGAATATGTTCTACCAGACAAAAACCAATACTAATCTGATCTATATTTTTCATTGTGGTTTTGCTTAGAAATAAGCATGAGGATTATGAAATTAATTTTAAATAGAAATTGAATACAAAAATCTTTGAGCCTTTGATAGAAGTGGGTTGCAGTCAAATCAGAAACACCTAATGCTATTTCTTTCTTTTTATCTTCCCCAAATTTTAAATATTTTTAGAATTGTGAAAATCCTTTAGAAAATTCTAGGTGTTTTTTTATTATTTGGCACCTTTATAATTTTGAGTAAATCTGAATTTAGGCCACTGTCAGTTCTATATTTTTGAGCATTATGTTTCCAGGGGCGCAAAGTATAAAGGCCAATTTTGACCTTGTTAGAAGAGATGATAGTCTTTCTTTCTTTTTTTTTTTTATTGTACCATGTGCAATGGTGGAACACTTATTCTCTGTACCCCTTTTGTCCTTCCAGTATGTCAATGTTTTGTCTTGTTTCAACCAAACATCCAGTAAAAATAATGAAAAAAGAGAACAGGCTTATTTGCAAGTTGTCTGTGTTGATCCTTTAAGAGAAGTATTTTCAGGTAGAACAGATGATTAATTTCACATTTTTTGTAAAAATTGCCATTTTAAACACTATGTATCTTATCTTTAACATGCATTTTCTCCATTTTTACCTAAGGTTTCAGTTAAGTTTAAATAAGTAACATTAAATGGATATTGGAAGCCATTGCACCTATTTCTAAGGTTAGTGTTAAAAAAACAAAAAAGTTACATCAGATAAAGACATTGATACATATTATTGATTCTTCTGGTCATTCATGGAGAATTGTAGTGTCAGAGAAAGAGTTATAGAGGATGAGGGCTTTTGGAGTACGTCAAATGGACATGAGATAAATATGTATATTAAATACTACAGCTTTTCTGTCTGACTCTTAAGCCCTCCCCTTTTTAAAAAGATTTTATTTATTTCAGGGAGAGAGAGAGAGAGAAAATGAGGGGTGAAGGGGTAGAGGGAGAGGGAGAAGCAGACTCCCTTCTGAGCAGGGAGCCCGACTTGGGGCTGGATCCCAAGACCCCAAGATCATGACCTGAGCTGAAGGCAGACGCTTAACTGACTGAGCCACCCAGGTGCCCCACAGATATCTTTTAGATATCACCCTGCCCTGCCCCTTCTAACATTAAACTTTTCAACAAAATTTATTGCATGCACTGAATGAAGTGTTATTTGAAAAAAATAATGTAACTGTTACCTTTAAATGTGAATACATTTTCTTGTATTGTGAATGTTGACGTTAAAAATATTTGGTAAATTTCTGCACTTAGCATATCTTTTTCAATTTTTGATGCAAGTAGTTTATATCCTTTGTCATTTTTGAAGAGTATGAAACTGTTGTTGGAAATTGTCAAGCACGATGTATGTTTCTAGCTTATTATATAGTCAGTTTGTACAAAATGAAATTTAAAAGTGAATAAATAAGGGACCACGCATTTAAAAATTTCAACCATATGGGAGATTCCATTTTCTTACTGCCATTTGTTTCCTTTGAATTGGTAGTCACTTGTCCTTATAGAAGATGAAAATCACACCCTTGTCTTCATACTTTGATTACTGAATCTTAGTGCTCAATGAATGAATTGTTCTCACCACCAAACTCCGGGCCTGGGGCAGTTAAGTTTTCTTGGTCTTTAGCCTGCAGAAATATGACCCTCTCTAGGAGTACTTCCCATCTGCACACATAAAAGAGCTCTGTCTTGAACCATTACAATAGCCAGATCTGCTTTCCTTTAAGAAAATTTTTGCAAATCAAGATAGCTTTTGTGATGTGTTAATCTTTATTTGCTTCTCCCTATTCTTTCTATTTCAAAGTTTAATTAGGAATTCTAGCATTTCACAAGTTGAAAGAAATAAAATATTTGACTAATATAAATCGGAATTCAACAAGGTAAGACTGAATATACCTGCAAATATCAATCAATTATTCCCTCCAACAGGACTGGAATTTATTACTATTTACCATGGAGAGATTCTATTTGAGGTTATTTTATCTTTCTGGTTAGTCTAAAATGAAGCAGTAGGATTTTAAATATACTTTGTAGGCTGTTTTTATAAATTATTTTTTTTGCATTGTTTTAGATTATTAGTTAATATTTAGGATCAAATCCTACTGAGTTGAGGTCTTCAGTACTGATCACTATAGAAAACAGCTGCTAGCGGCCCTCTTGATTGGTCCATTGCTCAGTTGGCTCCAGCATGTACTTGTAAACAGTAGGGCCACAACTTTGTGTTTGGTTTTTATCTAGCTGAAGTGAGCCCTGCTTTCACTAAAACAGAACTCAGGATCTGATCATCACATTTCATATGCTATTGGTTACCTATTAAGCTGACTAGATAAATAAATGCATTTGATAATGGAGCCCTTTTTTACTCCCATTATTCCATAGTAGAAATCCTATGTATCCATCCTCATTTGTTGGCTAAAGTCTTAGTACTATAACTGATATAATTCTACATATACATTTTAGTTTTCAAATAAAGGTAACTTTTTTCAGCTATAATATTTAAAAAATCTGTGCTTCTTTTCATATCCTATTTTCTGTCAAGTATATTCAATAGTGTAACATTTTGATGAGAAAAGGAGGAAATTTCTAGCAAAATTGCTTCTAGCAAATCTGTGTGTGATCATTTTCAAGGTTAATGAATGTGTTGGGGCAAACTTTTTTTTTTAATTTTTTTATTTTTTATTTATTTATTTATTCATGAAAGTCAGAGAGAGAGAGAGAGGCAGAGGGAGAGAAGCAGGCTCCCCGCCTAGCAGGGAGCCCGATGCGGGACTCGATCCCAGGACCCTGGGATCATGACCTGAGCCGAAGGCAGACGCTTAACCATCTGAGCCACCCAGGCGCCCCTTGGGGCAAACTTTTTAATGGCAATCTATGGTTTAATTTATTGTGACATGTAGCCTGCACTTCCTATGCCTTAAAAAGCATACACACACACACACACACACAACTCACTGTTTTCCATTTACGCTTGGATGCTTTACTAGTTAGCTAAAATCGATGATATTATCACAAATATTTTCGCTTGTACAGGTTTCGAGAACAGGGAAGGAGGTTTAATGAAACAGAGGCTTAGACTCTGCTTAAACATCCTGCCTCCCATGCTAATCTCCTATTTACAATGATCCATTACGAATATTTAATGGTAGGCAGCATGCAGACCCAAATTAAAGAACATATGGGTACAGTTATCCTGGTTAAAATGGCCAACGTGCCTTGTATTGTGTATGGAAGATAACAGGACAGGTGGTAATCCATCTTCACAGAGTGGAAACAGCTGGTATTTTCCGTAAGCTGAAGCCGTCTTTTTCAATGTAGTCTCACCTCGCAGCTGATATGTCACTTGTTAGTATAATTCAAAACACACATTGATGTTAAAAAGCATTCTGTTTTTCTGTCCACTACAAAAAGCACCTCATGGACCAGGCATAAATCAAAACAAACAAAAAAATTCATATATTTTAGTTTTTGAAATTGAAAAGTTTAAGCTTCAATTTAATTGTTTTTAAATAGAAAATAAAGATTATCTTTAACTAGGCTCTCCTGTAAAATATTTTTCCTTTGAACTAGGCAAGAGAGAAATGGGAGTGTTTTCCATATTCTCCAAAATTATGAAGTTTTCAGGGAAAATCGTCAGTTCACACCATCAGGAAATATGTGTTAAAGTCATTTTTTAAAAAAAGTTATTTATCTCCTATCGTTTCTTACATTATTGAAAGAATTATTGGACATATATTGGAATCATAATAGTAAAATCTCTCAGTATCTGCTTGGAAATTGTTTAACATTTTTGCTTGCTTCCTGTTATTCAGTGTAAAGAAGAAATCAAAGTCTGTTGGATTCTTGGCATATGAGAACTGGGGTTCCATGTTGCTTACAGTCCATTTCAGATTCCAATTACCCCTTTCAAATACTGTAAAAATTTTGACAGGGCTCCAATTGTAACGGCCATATCAATTGATTTAGTCTGTCTCAAAATTCCCGAAAGGCAAGCTCAGGTTAAAGGTCAGGTTACTGGTGCATGACTCTCTTACTCATTTTAGTAAGATCAGGATCAGCAGTTTCCAGCACACGGGGCATCATTTTAATCTCTCGGTCTCAGAATTGCAGAGTCAATATCACTAATACAGTACCTATCTGTAAAAGAGGTAAGGGTACTCACAAAATAACTGAACGAGATAGGATAGGGGGGTTCAGCACATGCCTTAAATTCTTGTTTATTTCAAGTGAATGCTCTTTTACTTATTCACTCCCTTTCAGTTGAGTAAATTTTGTGGCTGGTGCTCTTGTACATCAATTTCATAAAAAATTATGTAACTATGTTCTACAAAAGTAGACTTCAAACTACAAATGTAATTTTTTAAATTATTTCCCAGAGATTGGATTTCAGAACTTCTCAAAGTATGGGTTTAATTATCTATTACTTCCTTTAAGTACTTTCATGTCTGTGGTTCTATGTTTTCTAACGGCCAACTTCTATTTACATGGTTTTGCAATCGTTGGCATTGTTTAGTGCAATGACAAACTGAATGATCTCTGACGTAACTTTCTCCCTG